GAGGTCAGCGTCGGCGAGACCTCGCAGAGCGAGCAGCCCGCTGGAGCATCGTGGGTGCAGGAGGAAAGGGACGGATTCTGTGAACATGCTCGGGCAAATGCCGCCCCGTGAACACCTGCGAGGGCCAAAACGTAGAGTGATTCAAGCCAGTCGGGCGAGCTCCACTCTGCCTCGAGCTCGCATGAGCGGTCTCAGTGCATGAGGTGCAAATGGATGCAAATGCGCCCTTTTCTGAGAGGGGCACTTTTGCCGACTCCCAGGAGTGGGCGCATCTCGGGGAACAAATACTGGCATGAACAACCAACTTTGGAGGTCCGCGCGGAGTTCTTGGATCGGCGCTGGACCCCTGTCACCCTGGCGCGTGGAGCACACCGGGCACGGCGCTGGAGACGCCGCAAGGGGGTTCCAGTGCCGATCAGAGAAATGTGCGCAGACCTCCGAACGCTTTATGTTCATGTCATTATGTGTTCCCCGAGCATCACCCACAACAAACGAGCGGCCTACACGCGCCTGGCTGACAGCGCGTCCACCACGTCGGAGGCGCTCGCCCTGCGGAGGGGCTCGGGCCTCAGCAACGCCTCCAAGCACGCCAACGCCGTGTCGTCGTGCACGCCGCCCATGCTCGCCATCGCCTGGGCATGGGAGCCGGCTTGAGCGAAGAACTCGAGCATCTCCCGCATGGCCTGCACGAGGCTTGCGTAACGGCGCCATGGCACCGAGAGCTCGAGCGAGCCTTGCCCGCAAGCGGTCTCCAGGAGCACCACCCCTAGGCTCCAGCAATCTGCTGGCTTGGGCCAATACGGCTCCCCCAGCGCTGTCTCCGGAGCGACGCACGGGAGAGAACCACACATGGTCTCCCGCGTGCTGAAGTCTGGAACGTGGGCTGCCATGCTGAAATCCACCAAGCGGCAAACGAACCGATTCCTCGCAATCTCTACCGACACGTGCTTCAGCGACACCTGCCCGTGAGTAACATCATTGACGTGGCAATGGGACAGAGCACTCGCGATCTGGGTGGTGCAGTCCACGGCGTCGTCCCTGGACAAACGGCGGCCTGGTTGAGTCGACAACACCTGCTCCATGCAGAAATCACCGCCATACTGGAGCACCAGCTGCACATGGGACTGGCTGTGCAGCATGCTTACGCAGCGGATGATGTGTGGGTGGTCGAGGGTGTGCGTCAGGAGGCTGAACTCCTGGTAAATGCTTTCCACCTCCTCGGCAGCGGTGACGCTGCGCTTGTTGCGCATCTTGACCACGACGTTCTCGTTCTGCCCGTCAACCGCCAACACAATGTGCTGATGATTTGCGTACTGCCGAATCAACAGGAACTCCCCGACCCTGTCCCCCGATTCCAGTAAGTGGCTGTCTAGGGCAGGAAAACTGGGCATTAGCAACTTCGGGATGTTCTCCCAGAGAAGACTGTCGTGTTCGTCCTCCATGGTCTGGATCTCGCTAGAAGAAAATACTCCCGTACTAATGGTGCTCTCGTAGACTTGCACGCGAAGCTGGATCGCGGTGCTCTCCGCAAGCTCCAGACGCATCTTCTGCTGCAAGCCCTCTGGGTCACCCTCCAGCTCCATCAGCACGCCGCTCGCCCCAAAGCTGTAGAGCGCATCCTGCCGCGCCATCAAGGTACGGAGGTAGCCCTTGGTCAGCTCGGCACCCATCCGATCTGGCAGCTGCACCAAGAAAACGAACGCGTCAGGGTGCGCGGCCGTCAGAGCGTCCAAGACGCGCGTCAAGCCCCTCTTCTCCTTACTTGTCTTGTACACGGACGGGATAACCACGGCCTCGTGCTGTTCCACCATCTGGGTGATGCTGCCCTGGCACATCTCTCCATGGCCTGCCTCCGGGGCCAGCACGTTGGCCGGCTGGTCCTGCGAGCTCCACGGCACCAGTGTCAGAAAACCAAATGACGATACACTGGGCGCGACGCTTGAGACGTAGGCCTCCACGACCGCTTGGATCGCCGAGGGTGCCATAGACAACCAGTGCAAGTGGCTTGCAGCCAGAATGATGGATGAAGTGGCACCTTGTGAATTGAGCCCCAAAATGCGTCTACGGAGGGAGGTCGGAAAGTCAGTTGATTGGCCTGGCCGTACCCCAGGCCACCCCCCGCGATGCGCGACGACCGATTGCGCATCTTCGCGCCATCGCGCCGCCCCCCCCCCGAAGAAGGGCAACCGCCCTGGCGTAGACCACCTCGCGCGAAGCGCGATTATCTCCGCGCCCTGGCAGGTAACCTGGGTGCAAGTCTCAATGCGCATCCGCCGACCCTGTCGGCGTGCGGAAGACACTATAGTCGTGCTCGTCGTCGCCGTCGTCGTCAGTCCGAAGGAAACTGAAAACGTCGCTGTCCACTCGAAGGGAAGCCCATTCCCTTTGATCCCTCCCCCTCCAGGGAAGGGGTGGTCGCTGGGAGAGGGTGGGGTGCGGGGGGAGGGGGGAGGGCAAGGGGGGTGTCCCAGGTCAGATTATGCCGTTCCCCGTGGAGGTCCCAAGGGGGTGGTCCCCCCTGTGGACAAGGGGAAAGCAAGCCTCGGGAGAAACTCCTCCTCCTGGAATACATGCACACTATCCAGGAAAAGGGCTCTTTATCCAGGTGGCCTACCACAGATCGATGGAACACCATGAAGCAACACTCGAGGACGCCAACCCCACAAGACATCAAACCCTGGACCAAACACCAGCACCCCAGACCCCAGACACCAAACTCCAAGCTCCAAAAAAACAAAAACCAAGCACCCCGACACCCCCAGCGCCAAACACCAGACCCCAAACATCAAGCACCAAACACCAAACCCCAAACCGTAAATACCAACGGCCCAACACCCCAGACACAAAGCGCCAGACTCGAAACACCAAACCCCCAACGCGGCACACAAGAACACCAAACACCAACGCCCCAAAAGACCAAACCCGAAGCACCGAACACCAAAACCCGCACCCCAAGCACCAACACCCCAACACCCCAAACACTAAACCCTCAACACCAAACACTATAAAAAAAAAAAAAAAAAAAAAAAAAAAAAAAAAAAAAAAAAAAAAAAAAAAAAAAAAAAAAAAAAAAAAAAAAAAAAAAAAAAAAAAAAAAAAAAACTCGAAACACCAGCCACTAACACCTCAAAACACCAAACCCCAATCCCCAAACATCAAACCCCAAACCCCATACTCAAGCCGCCAATCACAAAACACCAACACACCAAATCCCAAACGCCAAACTCCAAACCTGAAACGCCAAACCACAAACACGAAAGCCCAATCACCAAACAACAGACATCTGCGAGAACTATAATTAGCCGCGCCAGATGGTGACCCCGACGCAAGCTGTAGCTACGCCGCGGGGGTATTGAGCAAGAGCAGTACTTCGAAAGAACTTGTCGCGAGAACTCACGTCATCCTGATCTCTGGCGCGCGAGGAGATGGGCCAGCCAACCGCCCCCCTTGCTGCGTTTCCAGGAAGCCCGGGTAACCCGAAATGTCCTAGACATCTGAAAACGGATTCCAAACCGGCGTCCTCGCGCGGGACATCCTCAAGAAACCGGCCCCCCGATCTTCCCCAAGGACGAGCCCGGAAACTTTCAGAGGCCCTCTTGTTCCGTCTCCAGGAAAGCTGGCGACGCATTCCGAACTGGCGCCATCGCGTGGGACAGCCTGGGAAAACCGCCCCGACGAAGTCCTCTGAGTTGAGGGATGAAAAAACGACCCTACCCTGGGTTACAAGTGCGTGGTTTGTAAACCTCCTGGGAACCCCCAAAGCCTAGAGCCGCCAGGACGCGGCACATCACGCAGGGTTTACCCTGTCAGCCCACAGGAGTTTCAGCGCACAGCGCCTCATAAACCAGGGTAGGGGCGTTTTGTATGCCCCTGACTGAGGCCCCCCTGTTCCGTTTCCGGGACATCCCAGAAATCTGGCCACGGAGACTCTGAATTGGCACCCTCGCGCGGGCCATCCTCAGAACACGGGCCCGCCGAACCTCCCCGGAGGCCCTCAGACGCGCGCCGGGGCGCACCCGGCGCGCACCAGTCGGGGGCTCTCGCTCGAGACATGCTCCCAAAGTCGGCCCCCAAGTTCGGCAGTGGACAAACCTCCCTTTAGTAAACCTCCCCTCAGTGAAAACGGCCTGGGGCCGAAACCGACGGACCTGGACCCGCAAAAATGACGGCCGCGACGCCCTCTCGCGAACCGAAAACGGCCAATTCACTAATCGACGTGTCAGGGTAGGAGGTCTATCCACCTCCGACAAGTGCCATGTCCAGGGATCTGCCGGCGCGCGCCGGGGCGCACGCTGGGCGCGTGCCAGTCGGGGCCCTCGCTCGAGGCGTCCTCTCAACATCGACCTCGAGCGCGCGAGGAAATCAAGCCCCACCGCGCCCCCGAGGACCATTTCAGGGGATCTGCCAGCGCGCGCCGGGCGCGTCCTAGGCTGGGGCCCGCCATCCTCGCAAGAGTCGACCCGGGCGTGTCCCAAGGCGGGGCTGAAGATGCAGAAGGACTGAGGAGGAGAGGAGGGAGGGCTGGAGAAGGGAGGAGGAGGAGGCGGAGGACGATGTTATGTTATGTTTGGCCGCGGGTTGGAGACAAGCGCCAAGTCCCGACCACTCAACGGCGACAAGCGGGGACCGAACGAGGGCCCGAAGACGAACGAGGCGAGGGCCACAGGAAGACACGCGGCGGAGGGACAACGACCGAGGGAGCAATCGAGGCCCGAAGCAACGAGGGGACACACGCTGTCAAGCTGCAAGTTCGCAGATTACAATGTCAATTGCATCCAGTGTTATACCAATTACATAACACACCTGGCCCGCGCTAAGTACAACAGAGCTTGCATTCATCTCCTGCATCATGTTCGTCCTCCCCTCCAATCCCCACATATCCAAGGCAGCTCGCGCTTCCTCTGGTACTCCCTCCTAGGATCACCAGCGGTGTGAGGATCGCGGGGGCAGCTGTTGCGGGCAAGCCTGAACGGGGGTGGCTGGGAGTCAGAATCACAGTCCTCGTCACGAGCTGCAGCAGCTCCACGAGGCACGAGATCGAGACCAGCAGCACGAGCAGCAAGTCCCTGCGCGTACGACTGGCGAGCACCGCCAGAATCAGCAGGCACATCACGAACATCACCACAAGCTGCATGACCTGCTCCAGAAGATACGGGATCGAGACCAGCTGCAGGAGCAGCAGGCCCGTCGAGCCGCGTAGCAGCAATCGCAAGGCGGGCAGTCCACCAACTCATACTGGTGGAGCGGTTTGGCGCAACTTTCACCAGAGAGGCGTCGCCAGGACTAGCACAAGGTTTCAAACGATCGGCACGAACTTGTTCGGCTTCCCCGCAAATATTGGCACGCAGATCGCGAAAATGGCGCCCATCACGAATTGCATCGCCCAGGCCATCTGCACGAACAACTTCGATGACAGGAACAGCTTCGTCAAAAGAATCGGCAAGAACCATTTTAGGAAGCACATCGGCAGAAAAGGAGAGAGAGAGAGAGAGAGAGTGAGAGAGAGAAGAGAGGGGGGGTGAAGAAAGAAAAACAAAAAAACGCATGTGAGTCACGAGGCTCGGCGAGTACACCTCGAGCACGACGTGCCCACAACATGGCGCCGAGGCGCCACCACATGGCGCCGCATGCACAGGGCGCCACCACCGCATCACAGCCGAGGGCCAGCCGCCGACTGGTCCAGCGCCGCCAAGGACGCGCAAACGAAGCCGCCAGGCGGAGCCCGCCAGGAATCCCAGGCAGCGTTCCGCCTGCGGC